GAGAGAGAGAGAGAGAGAGAGTACCGACACTCGTTGGGCTGGAAAGAGTTGAACGCATGGGGGGCAACGAAGAAGTGAGTGTCCGAATAGAACGCACGGGGGGTAACGAAGGCGTGATTGTCCGAATAGAACGCGCGGGGTTTATCGCTAAATCGCGGCAAGCACCTGTCGATTTCGAATCGTACGCATGCGCGTAATTGCAGCAGCTGCATCACCAGCACACTCTTAACAACCTGAGTAATGCGCATGAGTTTATATCGGAGCACCACTGTCTGTCTCTCTCCAAATCCCAATCAGTCAATCAACCATTGTGATTGTGCTGCTCTCCGAGCACCACTTACCTACAAGGGGAACGCCGAAATTGAATATAACCCTTAAAGCCGGCTGGATGCGTTCATCATACTCCTGGCGGGAGTGGGCTTTCGTTCCCTCACGTATGGGTGGGTGGCTTTATGAAATGCACGCAACTAACCGCATTTAGGGTTGTATTCAGCTTATATTCACGCGTATAGGTGGAGGGTCGATCCTTCAGCAATGGAGTCAAACGATTCGTCGACGGCACAAGTATCTTTGTTCAAGTTTGTTGCTTGTTTCTTTATTTTTTACTATAAGCAATATGTGTGTAATACTGTGTATGATGTGCCGTTAATAAATTAATAATCGCTACGGCCTGTGCCTGCTTCACGGTTTTCTATTTTAGTCAAATATAAAGTTGGACCATTTTTGAAAATTGTTACTTGGACCATTTCTCGATTTATGCGTGTAATCCCCTGATTGCGCAGGGGCCAAGTCCCACTGGCAGCGTTGCGTTTCCTCAACGCGTGAATCTGGGCGTGTTTGTGGAGATGTGCGGTTGAGGATACTCAACGCCATTTCTGCATATATATCCTCAATCACGTCCAGATTCAGGCGTTGGGGAAACTCAACGCTGCTAGTGGGACTTGGCCCCAGGGCCCGAGGGACATTAGACCATTTTTGATAGCACAATCAATCAATCAATCAATCAATCAATCAATAAATAAATAAGTAAAATCTCCGGTTGTCATCCTTGCGCGGGGACCGTGTTAATCGTCTCTATATCGGTCCAATTTTTAGCGGATGTCCCGCCCAAGAACGACTCCTTCCCCGGTTTAAATGACAACACCCTGATTTTTGTTTTCCTAAAATAACCTGATTATTTGCAAGGTCAGAGTAGAGAAATAGCCCGTCAGCTTCAGAAGGATAAAACTAGCAGAGTCAGAATGCATGTCCACGTCAACAAGCATATCATGCACCTGGTCGTCTTCAAGTTTTTTTGTTTTTTTTTTTCCCCCCCTCTTCTTTCTCTTCCTAAGGGTCTGTAGCGAGAGTCCAGCAAGGGATGGTAGAGGGGGACAAATTGCCACGTGGTGAGGGCGTATGAATTGCCACGTGGCGAGCTGCTAGCCTATCTTCTCTGTCCAATTCCCTGTCCACTTCTCTGCCCGTCTCGACCGAATTAATCTCTGTAAGGGAGGGAGCTTATGGCCGTTTTTGTCCGTTCTACTCTGGGGAGCCAGGGCCAGCGTCCCACGAAACAGTGCCAATGGAAATTTTTGCACAGTCCTCAGGAACAGGCAGCATTGGTTGCCCCTAAATAAGGAGGGGGGGCATGTCCTTCGGGACATTCGGGACATCCGTGAGAATTGGAACGATACAGAGAAGATGAGCATGGCCACTGCACAAGGATGACACGCATAAGTAGAGAAATGGTTCAATTTTTTTCTTATTTGAGAGAAAAGAGGGGAATATATTGGCTGAGGTACTTGTTCAGAGCAACTTTTGACTAAGGCTACGGCAAGAAACTTTGAATGCTTTTGAATCTATGGTGTTAATTCTACTCTCAGGCCGGGGACGTGGGAAACAGGGAGGGCTGGGACGCCAAATCATAAGGTAGAGTGGCAGCGTTCAGGAAGCAGTGGATGACCGGGTACAGGTACTATGGCAAAGTAGGAAAATGGGTGGACACTGGACAGGCCACTGTTTCTCCTGCGTGTGCAACTTCTTCCATTGAAGGGATAGACTGGGGAGTAAATCACAACTCCCCTGGCCATTCCCCACCAATACCTTTGGGAAATTGAATATTTCGCACTCTCTCTGGAAGCTTTGCAGGATCCGCATCATCTTTGTCACCTTGTCTTTAAATCACCAGTACCTTTCTCATCTATTTTGTTCCAAGGGGGCATTAACACCCCTCTTTTTCATGCGGCTAGGGCTAACCTCATCATCATGGCACCAGCCAAAACAAAATGATTTCACGCCTGCAATTGTTCACCGAGACTCTGTCCGCAGCAGAAATCCGCATGGGAGAAGGGAGACTGGGAAGTACCGGTGGTTCAAGTTCTTTCCATTCCTCGAGAGTCGAGTGTGACTGTTCTTATGTGGACCACAGTGGTCCTCTTTTTTTGGCCGGAGTTTGACTAAGTTTGACTATGCAGATGTTCTCTCCTGTCAAGAAGGGGCTGGGAAGTACTGGTAGTTCAAGTTCTTTCAGTTCCTTGATTATGACTGGGCAGTGATGTCCTGTTTGGCCTGAATACTCGATGCCCCCTCTGGTCTAGAAGCAATGCATGCACCACATTAGCAATTACGAGGATGTTACGTTCGTAAATTGAGCAGAATAGAGGCAGAGGTTGTATCCCTCTCAGGAGCTGCATGCCTGTGATGAATTGACCAGATGGTGTCCCATCAGGCCCATACCTGCAGTGCCAATGGACAGTCCAAAAGGCAGTGTTCCAATGTGGCCGTTAATGTCCTTGGGCATGAGCCGTCTGAACAGATCGGACACATGTGCAGCAATTTGGCAAGTTGCTCAGACAGTCCAATCTGCGGCTTCCAGACATCAATAATGTAGGATTTGCGATTGCAACGCACAAAGGGCTCAGAGAAGTAGCCAGTGCTTTCCTGTTACCAGGTGTCTTTCGAGTTAAGCAGGTACTACGGGTCCTCTGACTTCCAGTAAAAAAATCATTCGACTGGATCTCGCCGGTATCACCTATAGGCTGTAGCGCTTCGAGATGTCGTTTRGTCGTCTGTCCCCAATACGATAGGTGATCTGCCCCCATGTAGTATTTCACCACTCCGACTAAGGCCTTGCTGGTTTTGACCAACAGCAGGCAGAGGGCCGAAGGTCAGCGTGCATTCGCGTGCTTCCCAGATGTCGTGTAAATACATATGGAGCCGAGAGAATCTCGCACCCAACTGTGCACAACTTTCTGGCCAGGTAGGGTACCCGAAGTGCAATTGCAAACTGTATATTGCCTCGTAGTGCAATTATAACTCGTGTTTGTGACTCCACTGAAGTTTTTTTTTTTTACTCGTCCTTTTTCTTTGCAAAATGCTCCATTCTTATTGGTGGGGAGCTGCACCTGCTGGAAACCCGGCCCAGCATCCCAAAAGAAAACAATTATTACTGACAGACAACTCAACCCCCTCTCATTTTTGCACATAAGTTACAGCCCCAACCTTAACGATTCCATAAACTCATAGAGTCCAGTGCATCTTATTATGCCCAAAGTTTGGAGTCTTTGGACCACCAGAGTTCCATTACCAGGGGTCAGGTCCTACTAGCAAAGCGGATTGGATTGAACACCTGAATCTGGATCTGTTTGTGGAAAGAGTGCAGAAAATCAAGATTGAACTGCTTTTCTGCATCTCTGCATAAAACACATCCAGATTCAGGAGCTTAATTCTATCCTCATCGCTAGTGGGACCTGGCCCCAGGGTGTTTACCTCAGTGGGCCATGTCGTCCTTCGTGATTCTTTCAAAAAAAGAACCATTAGCAGTCCATATGGGCCCTCCGACGAGCGGTTTTCTGACCATTCGAGATAGCTGTGGTAATCCGCTTTTAGCATGACCTGGTTTTCGGTGGGAAGAGTGGGACTCACCCCTCATACTTAGTCTAGGACTTTCTCTCTCTTTTACACACACATAGCCCCCTTATATTATGGGGGGCACCTATCCAGTTACTTATCATAACGAGCATATTAGAAGCATTGAGAGTATTGTCACACTAGCACGATTGAAAATGTATCCGACCATCGTTGCACTATACTTGGAGTATCCGAGTCAGACCGCAAATGCCTCCATAAACAAGTGAAAAAGTCCTAGTGTTTTGCAGCCGAAACTGGGTAATGGCACCGGCATAGTTCTGTCAATAATGGGCCTCAGACCTGGTTTCCAGCAGGTGCTGCTCCCCACCAATAGGCAGGAGCCATCCGCCGCCATGCAACATGGGGCTGCTCTCCCCCCCCCAGGTTGCATAGCCAGCTGATGAATTCCCCCCCCTCCCCCCCAACCCCGCCCCCCCGAAAAAAACCCCTCCTAGTGTGAGTATGCCCTGAGAAGACCAAAGGAAGGAACCAGAAAGGAAACGCGCCAAACCGCCGCCTCTGGTCAGCCTGCCAGTCTGATCTGATTTCCGTCAGGAAGGAAACAATCCTTGTCCATCATAGGACCTGCACCTGGAGACTCTACATAGAACAGAGTCACCACAATTATGTTCCTCCATAGTGGAAGAGCTGCCCGTCTTCCATACCCACCCAGCCATTTTTCTACTACGCGGCTGGATGTGCATCGTGTCTGGCAGGATGGACTGCCCTGCCATTTTCCAAAAAATACATCTAGCAAAACTGTGTTGCATGCGAGGCCCGTCTTGCCTGGATGTATTTTTTATAAGGCGTCGGGCTGCTACATCGTGCCAGACATTTGTGTTGTAGAAAAACGGCTGGGGAACGTACTGGTTTTAATATTGTTCAGTCCATATGCGCAGTGGGATGGAGCTGAAGTAGGAGGCTGAGATGGAGGCTAGAGCGGTACACAGGTACAGCTGGGAGCAAACTGGACCAAAGGTGCCGGGGCAGGCGTGCTCTCAACTGGACCACACTAGACTGCAGCGGTCCAAGGTCCATTGCATGGACCAGGGCAGAAAAGGTTGTGAAAAAAAAAGGCGGCACTTTTTTTCTGCCTAGAAACTCGGGTCCAAATGACATTACCCTCAGAAACCTAAGGTTCCTTTTTAAGCTTTTGCGCCCGCAGACCTGCACACTTGATTACTTTCTTACATCTCAAGCTTCATTTTGGTACTTTTCAGCACGTCAACCTTTTCTCAGACTGGTTCTAAGAAACCCTGATAACTGGGGGATGGTTTGTTATCAGAGGGAGATCTCCCCCCCCCCCCCCCCCCCCCTGATTGCAGACCCATCCTTTACTGCAGAGATTCCTTCTATCAGTGGTCAGGGGAGCTTCACCTGCTACCAGCCAGGGTTAGTGTAGTGTATATACATTGCAGTTGTCTCTGCATCAAGACTGCGAAAAGACGGAGCTCAGACCTCTTTGATCTTGTTGCGAGGTTGCAAATAGAGACATCAAACCTAGCCTGTTCCTCTTGATTGCTGTAGGTATTACCCCCTGTTGGCAGGACTCTCCTACTAGGCCGTTAACTCTCCCGGAAATCATAGATTGTGTTCTGCTGCCCGTCTTATCTCCTCCTCTGTACCCATCCCTCCATCAAGCCAACCTTCAAACTCAGAATTATGAGCAGTCCCTCACTCTAAACCTACCTTTTTTTTTTTTTTTTTTTTTTTTTTTTGAACCGCGCTCCATCTATTGGTGGGAAGCAGCACCTGCTGGAAAACGGGTCCAGCGTCCCAGAACATTGTATCCATTGAGGAACATTTGAAAGCGAGATATGATCTCTGGCTACCTTCATAGCTTATGTAAGATGTTTTTTCCTTTTTCATTTTCCAAAGCTTATGTGAGTTGTTCTCCGGATTTCGTTTGTCTGCAGGGAACTTAGCTTGTACTCACTTGTTGCGCATTCGAAAGGTGGCGAAATTCTCGGGTTTATGGTGCTCCACAATGTGCCATCTATTCCGGGACACATTCTTCCTGAGGATCTTCATTCGATGGATGTATGGTTGCAAAGTGAGACAGTTGACAATGGCTACGCGGTATGTTCGAAAGAGACTGCCAGTGCTACTTATTTAAAAAAAAAGGGATAATTTGCAAAATACCCCCATAAGTTGAGATATATGCCAAAATGCCCCTAAAAGATGTGGGTAGAGCGGAATGCCCCTCTGACCAAGAAAAATATTTTGTGAAATACCCCTGGCGTCGGTTGGACCCCCATCTTTGCAATATACCCCAACCGGGTACCATCCAACTTTGTGAAATGCCCCAGTACTTGCCAACTTTTCCTAGGCGCTATTGCAAAAGGCCAAGGCCCAAACGGGGACGTCCAGATTGCAAAGTTGCACACCCGCCTGCCAGGGCCACAACACAAAGATTTCGGCCCAAAAGGGCATTCCCTCTCTACCCACGTCTTTCAGGGGCATTTTTGCATATATGTCAACTTGTGAGGGTATTCTGCAAATTATCCCTAAAAAAAAAAAAGAAAAAGAAATGGAACTTGTGGTCCCTCTTTCTGGACTTTTTCTTCATCCTTTTTACTTGGTAATCCCTTACATTGATTGCATCATCTTTCTGCTTGCTGTCTTTTTTTTTTTTTTTTTTTTTTTCCCCGCAATGAAATGACAGGGTGCAAACCTTCAGTGTTGGGATTCAAACCAACTGGCTTCCCCTCTGAATAAACCCGCGTTTCGATCCCTTGGCCAAATTTGAAATTTCCCAGGGAATCAATTGAACAAATGACTTGAACGACATAGCCCGGTCCGCCCGCCTGTGGGACAACTTATATGTCAATATGCCCACAATAATATCCATGACAACCTCTTGCTCGGTATCAGATCTCACAACTGGCCCTGGAAGTCCACACATAATTACAACCAATGAGGTGAGGTGGATCATGGACCCAACATGGCCCCTCCCGAGAATCCCATGCTCTCAAGACCCCAACACACATGGACAACAGGCAACAGAAGTAGAGACAACTTCTGGAGACAGACCATAGGATTCTAGAGACAGATCTTCCCGGAGAAAGAGTCCTCTTCCTCTGAGATGGGAAGATATTTGAAGACAGCCACTGCTTGGCAATTAACATATCACAGGGGCACTGGGCAAGGCTTTTCCTATGGAATGCATACATGGCTACATTAGCGCATGGCTGCGGAGGGGAGTCCACACAGTAGGGCGCTTTTTGGGACTCCACTGCAAATGGGTGGAAGGATCCCAGTGGCACCCTCTTGTTGACGGTTAAAAGGAACATACAAAACCTCAAAGAGACTGATGATAATCACCGAGGCCATCTCATTGGCCTGGACCCAACTCTGATGAAAAGGGCCCACAGGTAGTGGAAAGGGACTCAGTCTGGGTGATTTCGGAAGGAGAACTCCCATTGCTGACAAGAGTATACATGGTAATCAAAACCATGAGCAGTGAAGTGGAGGATCCTTCAGGTCAAATAAGAGAGGCCTCTGCGTTTTTTCCCGTTGGGCCCTCCGAGTTTTTTTCCCGCTGCGCCTTTGGCACTCTGCCCAGGCCCTATGGAATCCAGCAACAACAAACTGGAGGATCCTTCGGCCTTAAATGTCAAAGAAGAGAGGCCTCTGCTTTTTTGCCCGTTACACCTTTGGCACTCTGCCCAGTCCCATTGGAATCTAGCAACCAGCAGATACATGGAGGCAGCTAACAAAAAGCACCGAAGGGGTTCAGCGGCTGCATAAAGATAAACTTAGGAGGATCAGTGTGGTTAAAATTGGGCACATGTGATAAGCCAACCTCGCAGCTTCACGTACCCTTTGGGCTAACCCGAAGTAAGCCCCGAAGTACAGACCTTGACTAATTACAGAATTTGCAAGTTGGTTGCGTTCATTTGTTGAGATTGCCCCTGTCCCGCTCAAATTAGCCCCGCGCGGCCGATAAGCGGCGTGCGAGAATTTCAAGTAACGGTTATGAATTTTGGTTGACGGCATTTCAATTTTTTCTGCATCTGCAACTGCACGCAGCCATTTTTGAATTCTTGCTTGCCATGCAAGCTCGCTTCCCGCCATGAGCACGCGCCAACTTCCCTTCTTGCTCCGTGCAACCCTTTGCCTTCCCCAGGACCTTTCGGCTGATCCCCTCCCTGTTGCTTTCGGCGTGATTGATTGGTTGTCAGTTGGGTTGGCTGGATCAAGCTGCGAGGGCGAATTTACACGCGTGGCTTGAACGGCCAACCCAAGTGTACTGATATTTCGATCATCCCGCCTTCTTCGATCTTCTGGAACCTTCTTCCTCCCTCCTCCTCATCTGCGCCCCCTCACTACCCGCTTTATGTGCTGGTGCCCCGCCGCCTTGCGCACTACAAATTCGTGCAGCCCCTTCCTCTTCCTCTCTTTGATCTCAGCTGCAATGCTGCGTGAGCTATGCGCGAAGACCATGGCGCCGAAGAGGCTCGATGGCCCCAAGGATCGGGGGGAGTGACGGCGCGGGGTGGAATTAGCGGTAGACTTGGGGTAAGAAAGTTGGAGGGACTGATCGGTGGTGGAGACGGGAACAGAGCCAGCGGCAGGGCCTTGTGGTTATGGTTGGCTTGTGTTCAGTTGTGTTGGTGGCTGTGCACGCAGAGTGCCAGCATTGTTGTCAATAGCGAAGGACTCACTTCCTCTTCATCGCTGCTTTGTCCATTTGCCGTGTGCTCCGGAACTCTGTGTGGACACTCAGTTGTGTGCATGGCGTTGGGTGTGGGTGTCAATGGATGCTGAATGCTTCGCTGTCTGAAAATCTATGGATGCATGGATGCGGAAAGACTATATGGGGGCCTTTGTTGTCAGTATGCACATGGGTGCCCTGGTGCAGTTCTCGGGGTCATTGGGTTCTGGACGTCTGCTGGTATTCATGAGTGTGCTTAGGCTCATTGATTCCCAACGTACTGCCGATCCCCGCGCCTGGCACGCATGCGAGTTAGTCGCCACTCTTTTTCTCTCCTCCCGTGCGCAAGCGGCAGGTGTCGAAATTTTCCGTTCACCCGGGCGGGCCGAGTGACCAGGGACATCGGGCGTGAGGACTTCGGTGGTCCAGCCGATCTCTCCACCTCTCGGCCATCGCCGTTTTGACAGGGTGTCCATTTGGTTAACGATATTGTGTGAAACTACTTGCGGTTGATGGTTAAGAGTGGGTGGTGGAGGGAGAGTCGAGACTTGCATGGAGTCGAGGTTTGCTACTCTGAATGTGAGCGCGGGTAACTGGCCGTGCTCGAACCTCACGTCGATTCGCCATAGCGACCTTCCTCCTTTTCCCATCGCAGACGAGGACGGTCTTTATTGCGATGCAGACGTACGGAGGGTGCTATTGTGGACCAATTGGGTTCACCTCTACAATCTGTCTAAGGCGTGCCACATAGGGGGACCTGGGTTTGTTATTGATTGATTTTCTTCCCCCACGCTAATTCTGCCTTATACGGACTTGACGGTGCTTCCCTGGTCGGCGGCCCACACCAGGTGGAAGCCGCAGTTCTATTGTCGATGGTGCTGGCTGGAGAACTCGTGTTCGTGGTGGAGAATGGTGCTGGGCTATGAAGGGTTCGTCTGGTTCCCAGACCTCTCCTGCAGTGCAGGAGCTCTTCCGGCGAACTTCCGGACCTGGGAGCCCCCACCCGCTCATCCGTCCGATGATGAGACTTCTGGCTGATCGGATGGACTGCACGGGCCCGATTCGGATGCCTAGAGTGTCCCTTGTCTCCTTCCCTCTCCTCAGTCCCCACGAAAAGGGTGGCTTGAACCTGACACGGGAAAGGTGGTAGATTCGTATTGCAGTTACTTTGCTTTCCTCATTCTGCACAACCTTTTGTGGTTCTAGTAGGGGGTGAATTAGTTGGGCTCTCGTTCCTAAGCCGACGGGCGGACTCCACGTCCAGTCCTATTAGAACTGGCCTTGGGACCTGTGGAAATTATCACCTACAGTATGCTGTCATGTAGGCAATCAACTTCGACTGCTGTGTAGTTATACCCGTCAATCTCTCCTCTGTGTAGGTACTCCCTGCAACTTGATGTCACTTCTATCATTGCAGTCATTTCTGTCATTTCAGTCGTCTGTCTGGTCAAGCGAACAACTACAATGTTCAGGGACGCTGGACCCGATCTCCAGCAGGTGCCGCTCCCCACCAATAGATGGAGCCTCCCCGAGAGTGCAAGTAGTGCCTGCTCCTATCAGCACCCCTATCATCATGATTCTCGGGCAGTTTCCTAACAAAAAAAAAAACAAAAAAAACTGGGACAGCACATATCATGCCAACCGTCCAAATATCCCTGTACACTGTTTGCAGTTCGTTCTGCATATATTCTCAAATACGTTTTCAAATGGGATGCTGGGCCAAGTTCCCAGCACGTGTTGGCTCCCACGAATAGATTGGAGCATCGTTTTTCTTAGCATACATTAATAATATGATATACATATTAATATATAAATTAGAATATAGAATACATAAAAATAATAATATCAACAATAATATCTATGATATACCATTATAATCTAGACTACCGGCCCCTGGTTACCTTATTTTCCCGGGCGGCCCGGCCGTGCAAGGACCAGGGACTGTCTCTTATACACATCTAGATGTGTATAAGAGACAGCTCTCTCTCTCTCTCTCTCTCTCTCTCTCTCTCTCTCTCTTCACCACTCCCGATGCAGGCAGTCCGTCGCCTTGCACCAGTATAGAGTTGTCACCTCGCTTAGTCCGAACA